TTTTTTGTCTTTTTATCCTCATTCCAAATGATCAGAAAAGAGGAAACCAACAAAAAAACAGGAGAAAGTACTAAATTATTACTATATTACTATACTATATAGTAGTAAAACGCATGTGAACAGTAGCCTACTTTTTGATCAGTTCATCAGTAATATTCATCAATATGTACCGGGAGAAGCGCGATTATTAGATGACCGATCGTCATTTCCAAAAGGCAAATATTCCCCTTCAGAGTCAGAATCGGCGAATAACATTTGCAACACATCCTCACGGTACAACTTTTTATTAGCCATTTGGCGATTTTCTCTCACAAATCTCACAATTTACTCGGACGCTGTGAACTGAACTGCTTCCGCATCAATGACACGATAGCTCACTTGCTCTGCTATTTGCTCGAACACTTTGAATAGGAACATTACGTCATTTTGGTCTAGAATCGAAGTACTACATGTCTGCCATCTAGTGGTAGGGAATACAAATGAGATATTACACCATATTAGGATCTACAGCCTATTTTATTAAGTATGACGTCTTGTCGCAATTTTGCGACTTTGGCCCTTAGAGGGTTAATAATCAGCAAATTAGGAATTTATTAAGGGAAAAGTCATAGTTAATAGTGAATAAGTGTTTCCTATTCTAAAGTGTTACCAATATCGCTTGCCATAGCAATATCACACTCTTTTAAGGAAAAACTAGTTCAAAAGATTTTTCATGTCTTCTGTTACTAATTCGAAAATTTCACGTAGAGCTAGCATTTCTGTTTGGTTGATGAATGAATCAGCGTTTTTGAATGAGGTTGAATGAAAGCCTCAGAGACTCACTTGCCGCCACCTACTGGTGTTACGTCTAACCAGCAGAAAGTGTCACTGAGAAATCCCCACCACTAAAATACACACAGACAGACCGTCTGTCTCAGGGCCGTTGACAGAATGCGGTTTTGCGTTCCACTGCGCTACTTTTTCATTGGTTTTCTATGTAAACACATGCTGGATGGACGTCTTTGATCCTTGCGCTCAAAACATTTGCAGGATGGACTTTGTTCCATGTGCTGAAAAATGTGACTTTTTTTTTTTTTTGCTTTCCCATTATGACCAATTAAAAAGTTAGTTGCATTTTAATGTTTGTACTTACTGTATATTGTATACAGTTAAAATTATATTGAATGCAACTGCAAACCCACAGTCAGTGAAATAATGATATTTCCCCTTCTAGAGAACTCACGCTGCATCCCCTAGTGGACATTTTGGGGACTGCCGCCAGCAGGACTGGTGTCTGAAGCACATGTGAAACAACTCCAATCCCATTGGATCACATAGCCTGTGACGTCACAGGCAGATGCCCAGAAGTATACTGGTCAAGAAATAATGGCACTGTAGCCTGAGCAGATTTTGCAAAGTTCAAAAGTGTGGACGACTTAACAAAGCCAAAAGTTTCAAATGTGGATATCACACAAACCCTCTGAGAGCAGCCCATTATAGAAGCATATATCCACTGCCACTAATAATGACTATCTTCATTATCACTTCAGTGGTCTGAAACTGATTAAGGAGGTCTGTGAGTCAATTTCTGGCTGAATAATACCCACTTTAATATTTGATTATTTCTGTAATTGGGCAAAAATTCTTGGAGTTAAGTCACACTGAAATATCAGTTTGCTCTTTGGGTTTCTCTAATGTGAGACTATTCAAAGAAATCTAGGAGTGCATATCCTTATCCATTGTTTGGCAAACTTTATTTAATCAGTCTTTCCTATTAAGATCAGATTGCATTACATTCTACACTGAAAAAAATGGTGAAGGAATTATTTTGAAACTATTTTCATTGAAAAATTATTAGTACATTTCACAAATAATTAACGAAATGGCAAGTAACACTGCATTAAACGTAAATTTAAGCAGAAAGACTCTTTTAAAACATTCTAATCATCTTTATATACAACTTCAAAAAAATATTTTCGAAGTAAAATATACAATAGCTGTTCTGTGGCCACAGATTTGCGGGTCTTGCCTTTTGCTCCTATAGGTGACTTGCTCCTATAAGATCTCCTATTTCATAGGAATAATGTTATGCAATATATTTCCCAATTCATTTGTTGTGTCTTTTCAAAATGTCTGATAAACATGTTCTGCTGTCCTCTACAGAGGACATGTATAAAATTGATGCCCTGTTTTGTAACATAAAGTTATCTTCTGATTTGAATCCCCATAAAGTTCTCCTGAGAAAAATGAGTCAGATTTAAATTACAATTAAATGATAAGAGTGCTGAATTTAGTCATTCAGTCAATCACTATGTTCCCTTTCAGTCAGTCACGTTCGACGTTATCGATCTCGTTCGATCTCGCCCGAGAGCCCAATCACCTTCGAGTGTTAACTAAACAAGCCAATGACAGTTGGCGTACGTGTTTCGTCACGCGCACCCTGCCCCGCAGCGACGTAACGTCTCCGTTCCCTCCTTCAGGGAACGAGGGTTACACAAGTAACCTAGACGTTTCCATCCAAAGTTGCGAATGTAACTTTTGCGCAAAAATTGGAATATTGCATAAACCATTTGCAAATGACGTTTCCATCCAATGAGTCAAAGAGAACAAAATCGTCACTTCCTGATAAACTGGCACTAAATATCACTAAGAAAAGTAGGAGAAGCCACTGAATATAATAATTTTCATATATAATACATTACTTCGCCTCAAGAGCGAGCAGACGAAACACAATAAATGCGGTCATTGCTTTCGGAGGAGAATGCCTGCTGTTTGGGAATGCTTTACTTCGCCTCAAGAGCGAGCAGACGAAACACAATAAATGCGGTCATTGCTTTCGGAGGAGAATGCCTGCTGTTTGGGAATGCAGTCTTGTAAGACAGTTCTGGGAGGCAATTATACAGAAATACTTTGACAACATACTTTGGCTCAGGCATTGCAAAATGACCAAAACAACATTTCAGATGCTGTGCAACGAGACTGGTCCACTGGTTAGTCAAGTTACGCCGTCCTATCGTGCAAATTCACATGCTTTTTTTATGTGCATGGATGAATTTATTCGGGAAATGTGTTTCCATCTCCCATTATTTCCATTAACTCAAATTAAGGGATTAAGGTTTTTTGTGGTTGTTTGTTTTTTTTCAAAAATTTGCCATTTCCATCACTTGTTTCTGATGTGATATGTGCATAAAAACAAGGTGATGGAAACAGCTAATGTCAGTCATTTTTATAGACCAAGTAGAGGGAGTTTTTATGGTCAAAAGCCCTGAATGTGTATGTATGGTCTCAGAAAAAAATGTGCTAAAATATATTGTCATCTACAGAGGTCTCAGGAAGCTATTACGTTCACTTGTAAATGTCTTGAGATAAACAGGTTTTGTTATTCTGCTTAACACTAGTTGGAAACCTGAAAATTGAATTAATTAAATGAATTTAAATTAAAATTAAAATTAAATTAATAATTTTATTTTACACTAGAACTTAAGTTCCACACTAAAGTAGTAGCTGACTTTTGTACTCTTCCATGTTTTCAATAAAATGATGCAAGTAGATTTGTCAGAGTGGAAAGCTGATGGTACAGGTGTAAAATGTATAAATATGTCCGTTTGTTTGCCTGCTATCCTTCAAACTTTGAAGGTGTTTTACAATTTCAGACTATGTTTTGTCAAACCAACATTTAAAGGTTGTCTTGATGAACTTTCTTTTTGCAGGTAAAAATTACACACTATTGCTACTTTATTTATTTTGCCCACTCACAATTCTATCCGTATTTCATATTATGTATTGTGTTTAGTAGCATCCAGTGGTGGAAATGACTATGTTGGATTTTTTTTTTCTTCACACTTCACACATCACATTTATCAGATTTCATATCAAGCATGCTCTTCACTGACACTCTTATCTTCTTGGTAAGCAAATACACTAACTTTTTTTTTTTTTACTTTAAAATTTTAAGATGGATTTTCATACTTTTAAATTTAATAAGAATGAAAGTCTGGGACAGGATAATGGTAATGGCAACAAAAAATTAAAAATCTATACATAAAAGGCTTAGGAATCAGCAAAATAACTAATGAAAGCATGGTAAAACTTTTTCAAGACAGATGCAACCGAATGCAATCTTCATTTAAAAGACGATTAGGGGACAAAAGGGGGTGGGGGAGGAAAAGGGTATCCAGTTTTCTGTAAGAAGGAAAACTACAATAAACAATAAAATAATAACAATAATCTAAAAATCCTATGTCTATGACTTTCTTATACGTGTATCCACAATTTTATATCTTTAAATGAATGTACAATAATTTTCTGTACACTTGTGACTCGTTGCTACATTATTTAGAAGACCTTATCCTTCACTTATGTTCAAGTCAGATAATGTAATGTAAAGGATTCTTTACTCTTGTAATTTAAAATCTGAAGAAAAAAAAATAATAATAATAATAATTATATCAGTTAACTTTCCAAATCAGTCTTTGTAGTCCTCAGTGTGAAATTAGATAATGGAAGTGACTCACCTGTTTAAGGATGCCAGCTGCCATTTCATGACCACAGTCAAAGATCACATGGAACTCTTTTCCTCGTTTCATTTCTTTAAGAAGGGGCTTGGCATCTTTTGTTTCTGCTGGTAGCTGCCGGATTTTTAATCGGATGTTGTAACGAGATGGAGCCTTGATGAGCTCCTGTAATCGAATCAGACCTAAGTGGGAGAGAGAGACAGAATATAAATAAGGCTATTACAGAATTACAGGAATAGTTCCAATAGTACCAATGGTTTCCAAAAATGAAAATTCTGTCATCATTTACTCACCCTGATGTTCTTACAAAGACATTTTTCTTTCATGGAACACAAATGGACAAGTATCGTTTATATTGTCGCCAAATATTGTCACAAAATTACCTGCTGTGATGAGTCTGAATAAGACAAATGGGATTTGTTTATTACCTTTATTTTATGAAGGAGTGCAGCTTGGACAATCAGAAAAAAATAAATAAATAAATCTCATTTTGTGTTGGATGATATTGAGCCAGTAAATGATGACAGAATTGTCATTTTTGGGTGAAACATTCCTTTAAATGTACAACAGAGCATCTGAAATATAATTTAGAGCCATCTATATAGAAGCTCCATTTCATTTAATTCTTATCTTTCTAATTAGGAGAACATAAGAAAGCCATAAGGATGGATGTATAAAGTCATAATATTTTGGGGGAAATTAAATTGCTAAGCTGCATGGCCCCTCGCTATCTATCATCTAACTCTTCTAACCCTCTTGCTCTCTTCTCTATTAACTACTTTTCAGTGAAATGTTGGACACTCCTGTCAATGAAATGCCACCTCCTAATGTAATGAAACATCACATTCCCACTTCAAAAGGTCATCAGCTGAAAAAAAAAAAAATGATATCTAGGTTGCCCCCAAAATCCCATCGCCCTCATTTACTTCACACAATCGAGGACTTATATATTCAGTTCCCCATCAGAGAACTCGAGCTGAGTTCAAACGCTTTGTGAACGCCTCTGCATAACCATGTTCTGAAGCACGTGTGGAATCAGTCCAATGGAGAAGCGAGACGTCACAAGTGGGGTGACATGAGCAACCAAGAAGCTTAAAAGTGCACCCGGCACAGTGCATGTTAGCTTCTGCTCTTCAGTAAGAGCGTTGTGGTTGTGTGTTATGTTTGCACAAGCAGTCAGTCAGATACACTTTGTTAGTAAGAAAGCAAAAATATCAAAGTGTAAAGAAAAGTCCAAGTCGGCGAGCAGACAGCGGTTTAGATTGTGTGTTCGTCCCTGCCCTCGTTACCTCATGGTGGATAAGCACAATCTTTGCGTCATCTTTTTGGGAGTGGAGCATGCACGGTCAGCTCTCAGGGGGGCTCATTGCCCTGATTGTGAGCAGCTCCCGCTTTGTGTGCACCGCTCCTGCCTGACTGTCTTTGATGAGAGCTGCCAGTCTCGCGATCCCTCTGGTTCCAGTCCCGCAGCTACCGAGGCACAGCGGAGATCGTTGTCATGGGGATCGCAAGTGGATTAAGCAGAGGGATCCAAGGAGGGCTCGTCCTTACAGCCCCACGGTTTCTGACTATTCTAATATTGTGGGGCTGAATGAACAGGGACATGGGACCATGCGAAGGGTGGCTTGTCTCTGAAGGCCCCGAGGCTTCCCACCAAGCCGGTCAGAACGATGTAGGTCTTGGTGGGGAAAGCTTATATAGTGACAGGTCAGGCCAGTGCATGTCTGCACACCATGGTGGTGTTACAGGCATACCAGGCCGACCTGCTTAAGGACCTGAGTGAGAGCGAGGGTAGCTTCCAACGTGGTTTGCAAACTGCGTCAGGCCAGGGATCTCTCTCCATGCTACAAAGGAAATGGCCAGAACCATCGGCTTTTCAATGGCAGCCCTAGTAGCTAAGGAGGGACATCTGTGGTTGAATCTGTCTGAGCTGCAAGACAAGGACAGATTATTCCTGCTGGATGCTCCACTCTCGCCTTTTGGCCTCTTTGGCAACACCGTAAATACTGTTATCGAGAGGTTTCAGGAGGCGAGGAAGCAGGCAGTGGTATTCCAGCGCTACCTCCCTCTCCGTCCTTGGGTCCCCAGGGCTGCTGTGCGGGAGCAACCCCAGCCGTCCCCTAGCTCCTCATATCACCAGGCCCAGAAATGGAGTGTTGCTACCCGTTCCCTCCCAGCAAAAAGAGCAGGGGTCGGGGTGTAGCTCTCGGTCGGTGTCTTCTAAGGAGAAAGCAGATCTGTGGACCGTCATTCTCTCAAGGAAGACCTTGGCCAAGAAGTCCTGATGCCATGAGCGTCAGGGCTTTGAGGGCAGACCTCCCTGGGGAGGAGAGATCTCAGTATATGGTGCCCGATCCTCCGGTCGTTCCCTGCAGGTTATCCTCTTCAGGGCACCGAAGTGACTCCTCTAGCCATACCAGAGGCCAGCCCTGAATGGCTGGTTCCCTTAGTAAACTTTCTGGCAGCATGGAAACTTCTGCCAAATGTCTCACAATGGATCCTGCAGACTGTAGAGAGAGGCTTCAGAATCCAGTTTGGTTCTCGCCCACCTCGTTTCAACATGGTTGTCCCCACACTAGTGGGCCCCGAGCAGGCTCTGGTAATGGAGGCCATAGAACGTGTTCCTACTCTCTTGACAGAGTCTGGGTTCTACAGCCGATACTTCATCGTTCCAAAGAAGAATGGTGTGTTGTGTCCGATCAGAGATCTGTGTCTGCTGAACCACGTTATCAAACGCTTTCGGTTCAAGATGCAGATTGTGTCTCAGATCAGGTCAGATGACTGGTTTGTCTCGATATATCTCAAGGACGCATACTTCCATGTATCCATCCTTCCTCAACACAGGAAGTTCCTGAAGTTTGCTTTTGGGGGCAAAGTATACAAATATTGGGTTCTTCCCTTCGGCCTATCACTTTCACACCGCACTTTCACCAAGTGTGTGAATGCTGCTCTGGCTCCGCTGTGATTCCAGGGCATCCATATACCAAATTATATCGATGACTGGCTGATACTAGTGCAGTCTCAGCAGCAGGTGATTTGGCATCGAGATGTCATCCTCGCCCATATGAAAGAGCTGGGGTTGAGGCTGAATGCCAAGAAGAGTGTGATTTCTACAGCTCAGAGAACACCCTTTTCTTGGTGTAGTGTGTGATTCAACTACAATGCAGGCATGTTTGTTTCCTGCTCGTATTGAATCGATTTTCACAGCCATAAAGATAGTGACAGAAGGCCAGTCACTCACTGTCAAACAGTTTCAGACACTGATGGCAGCTGTGTCCAACGTGATAAATTTTGGCCTACTGTACATCAGACCTTTGCAGTGGTGGCTCAGGACCAAGGGGTTTTCCCCGAGGGGCAACCCATTTCACATTATCAAGGTCACGCAGCAATGCCTTCGTGCCTTAGACATGTGGAAGAAACCTTGGTTCCTGTCTCAAGGCCCAGTATTGCTCCTTGTCGTCGCGTAACGCTAACGACGGATGCCTCCCTCACGGGCTGGGGAGCGGCATGAGTGCACACAAACAACACTTCGGTGGTCTCCTACATCAACCACCAGGGGGATCTGCGCTCGCGCCCACAATACAACTATACTTGGCACACCAGATCCTCCTAAGGGCTCAGGGAAAACTTCTCTCACTCAGAGCAGTTTACATCCCTGGGCACCTGAATCAGGGAGCAGACATCCTGTCGAGACAAGGTCTGAGGCCTGGGAAATGGAGGCTCGACCTTAAGGTGATGGAGCCCCTCTGGAGGGAGTTCGGCCAGTCGGAAGTGGATCTATTAATGTCACAGGAAACGACATACTGTCCGCTCTGGTTCTCCCTTATGCATCCAGCTCCGCTTAGGCTGAATGCCATGGTGCAGAAGTGGCCAAGGCTTGTCCGTATGCCTTTCCCCCAATTGCTCTGGTGGGTCAGAGCCCACTCGACCCGGAGTTTGGCGGCCTCCAAGGCCTTATTCATGGGTGCTTCCCTGCAGGGCATTTGTGATGTGGCAGGCTGGTCCTCTCCGCACACATTAGTTCGGTTCTATAACATGGACCTGTCCTCTACCCCAGGATTCCAAGTCCTCTCGTCTTAGATGTGCTCACCTGATACACACAAGACAGGGACTTGTTAGTATGGTGCAGTGGGCATTCTCGTTCCCAAAGTATCTTGACACAGCTCGGGTTCCCTGATGGGGAACATCTCAGGTTACATATGTATCCATGGTTCCCTAAAGGGAACAAGATGCTGCGTCTCTCTGCCATACTCCCTGCATCCCTGTAGGCGCTTCCTTCATCCATCAGAAGCTAACATGCGCTGTGCCGGGTGCACTTTTAAGCTTCCTGGATGCTCATATCACCCCGCTTGTGACGTCTCGCTTCTCCATTGGACTGATTCCACACCTGCTTCAGAACGTGGTCATGCATAGGCGTTCCCAAAGAGAGTTTTCTCAACTATCCAGGACCAAACAAGGAACCACAGAGTTAGTGTCTTCCTTAATCTATTTCAACATTGTTATTTTGCCAAATGCCATGAGACTGTAAGGTGTGCCATTTGTAATTTTATGATTCAAGAGGGTGTTTACTTCCACCTGCTTTTGCCAAGTCGCACTGCTGCTGACTCTACAGCATTCTGTCACTAAAGTATGGGCACAAAAGAAAACTTCTAAGACTGAAGGTGAAGATTTGTAACAAGACCATTTAAATTACAAAAAAAAAAATTTATTGGCGAAATAAAAAAAATAAAAAAGTTATTAAAATGCTTCTTTCACATTTTTCGACATTTTCGAAGTGTAATATCCAGTAAGAGGCACTAAAAGTGCGTTCGAAAGAATGTGAATCTGACAGTGTTGGCTGTTGTACATATTGTGGCAGTTCGGAAATTAAATGTCCAGTGAGTGGCGCTACAAATGTAAGCAGAGGCACATTCTTCCAATGAGCCTGTGATGTTATTTTGTTTGCTGTTTCTTGTAACCAACTCATTTATAGGCTCAATGGAAAAAAAACATGCCTCTACCTACATTTTCCCAGCTGAAATGAACAGTAATCGTAGTTAAACACTAACATCTTATTGCTTTTCACACAAATTATGATTACAAGGGCATATAATAGTTTTTTGTTTGTTTTTTGTTTTGTTTTGTTTTTTCCCCCACAGTTCCTCGCACACAAATTATGTTATGACCTCAAAACACTTTTAGC